GTGCAGCAAGTCGGGTGTGAGGACAAATACTCGCTGACACTGACATTGGCTAGTGTTTGCGCTATGTCATGAATTAGCAAAAGTTGAAATTCATGGTTGAGGTCCCAGTTGCTTAATGGTTCACAAGCTCGCCTTATAACCAGATCGTCCTGGGTTCAAACTACAGTGAGTGAGTACTGTGAGCAGTCCCAAGCTGGGACGAAACAGCTGTTCACTACTCCCTGTTGGTTCTACACTGGTTTTCTAACCGATGTTAGCTCATGATGAAATCCTCTAACGAATCTGGTTTGAGTTGTCACTCATTCACCCATCTCTTTGTAAAAATTAACTCAAATAAAAACTTCTGAGGAAATTTGACTGTATTGAGGTGGTTTTGGGTTTTTCAGTTGAATAAGGCAGTTTTGGAGTTAATTTTGTGGATATTCAGGGTTTCTGAGGCTTTGGCGACGTGTCTTGATTCGACAAACATTTTACATTATGTCGCTTCAAAAACTCCCAAATCTGCCGGAAATTTTTTATGCGAGTAATTAGCTAAATCCGATCAGCTGGCCGAAAAGAATCACCAACGAGAAACTATGGGAACAAACAAAACAAGAACCAATCGCCCAACAAATATGCAGGAGAAAGTGGAGATGGATTGAACACTCGCTGAGGACGCCACTGGGTGACACCGTGCTCTAGTCCCTCGAGTGGAACTCGAAAGAGAATCGGTGAGTGGGACGTCCAAGGGTCACATGGAGGAGATCGTGTGAAGAAGAGTTGAAACAGTATGGACTAACATGAATGCAAGTGAAAAGTACAGCAGAAGACAGAAGCAAGTGGAGACGTCCAGTTGAAGCCGTGTGTTCCACTAGGAGCCCAAGGGAACAATAACAATAATAATTAGCTAAATCCAGCTTGGTAAATAATAAATTATGAGCTGAACCATTGAAAAACCAGCGAGTACTGGATAGCTGCTTCGTTCTAGTTCGGGACTCTTGACGGTTCGCATTCAACAGGGTTCCAGCTCAGGACCTTCTGATTACTAACGGAAAAAGTGTAATTATTTCATTTTATCTTAAATTTATTACAAACATAAAATATTTCACATTTTCATTGTACACTTACAAGTCCTGTCCCATAGTGGACACCAATTGAAACAGCTAAAGTTACAACCATGACAGTAACACAGTATATGAAAACTGCAGTGTAACCACGGTACAGACCAATTGGTAGTGTTGCACCTATTGTGATTAGTAAGATGTACAACACCACAGCTGATCCCGTCACTATAAGTCCCCATGTAAGCGTTTGCCCAATGAACGGTATTCCTGTGAATACAGATGCTAATATCGTCTATAAAATAGAAAATCGTAATGTTTGAGTATACTTGAATATTATTTTGATCAAAAAATATTCTGTCTGTCACCTTATCATTAATTGTCATTCTTGATGTGCCTCAGGGGGACATCTGGCTTCAAGCGTTTTGGACGTTTTGCGAAGCTTTCATCAACCTACTAGGTGACATCCTCGCCTCAGTGCATACTTCAATTTGAAGTGAGCTTTTAGACTTCTCCACGAGTTTATTATCCATCACTACTGGTGACCTTGAACGTCGTGATCGGTTGTTTTTGTGTGTTTTCACAACCTCTAGGCTACTTGTATTGAAACTGATTGTTTCCTTGACTTGAACTTTGACTCTTTGTGTGTGTGAGGTTTCCTTCTTATCGATTGGTAAATTTGTTTATTTCGATGTGTCTATGGATTGACGATTCACTGGTATACCCCTCAGGCTTCTAAAAATTCTCTGCCATTCTTGGTATTTCCTCTGTTTAATATTTGAACGTTGTCCCAGGTGAATTGATGTTTGTGGTTGTCCGTATGTACTGATATGAGGGAGTGGATGTCATGTCACGGCATTAACAACCGATAAGAAAGAAACTTCACACATAAAGTTCAAGCCAAAGAAACAATCAGTTCCAATACAAGTAGCCTACAGGGTGCAAAAACAAGCGAAAACAACCATGTTTAAGGTCAGGTCACCAGGAGAGGTGACTTTTAAACACTCGTGGAGAAATTTAAAAGCTCACTTCAACGAATTGAAGTATCCGCTGAAGATTTCGCCTAGTAGGGTGATGAAAGGTTTGCAAATAAACTATCCAGCTCAGAGAACACAACCACATCAAAATCATGCAACTGAGCTACAAATCTTCTCCATCATATCTATAGGGTAAGGTTGCTAGACTCACACTCAGCCTTCCCCCTGTCGCCCTATCATCCAGTAGCTGGATGGCTAGCTGAAATCCTTGAACCTGTCAGGGAACAGCTATCTAATCATTCTCTCCGGGACACCTTCCAATTTGTTGAATGTATACAGGATATAAATGCGTCGAATAAACATATGTTGTCTTTGGACGTAGAATCCCTATTTACGAACGTTCCACTGACAGAAACTATATGTTTTATATGCAAATATATAGAAGACAACAAATTGAATATAGGTATACCCACTACAGATCTGAAAGAACTACTTCTGAGATGTACATTGAATGTACAGTTTACTTTTAATGAAGCAATCTACAGACAGAAGGATGGTATTACAATGGGTTCTCCCTTGGGTCCTCTCCTTGCAGACTGTTTTATGTCCAGTCTAGAAAATGATCAGCTGAAGCCTATAATCCAAAGTTTTCAAATGTATAAAAGGTACGTAGATGACACCTTTATTATTTGTAATAGTGATTGTAACTTAAATGATATATTAGATGTATTTGATGGTTGCCATCCGGCGATAAAATTCACACTCGAAATGGAGAACGAGTCTAGCATGCATTTCCTCGATGTGAACTTATCAAGAAGGACCGATGGAACCCTGAAAAGATCGATTTATCGCAAGCTGTCATGGAATGGTCAACTCACAAATTTCTACAGTTGGGTACCCATTGGTCGAAAACGAAACCTGATCCGGTCGCTTGCCACTCGTATTCGGCGCATATGTAGCCCTGATACTGTGGAAGATGAGTTATACATCTTGAGGAAAATCCTAATAGAAAATGGATTTCCACCACGTTTTATAGATAAGAATATTCATTCAAATCTTAAAAAACGTGAGTTATCAACCGTACCCAAGAAGACACTTTACATGAGCTTGGAATTCAAAGGGGACTTAGCTTCCAATATCATGAAACGGAGGATATCACAATCCCTGAAAAGAACATTCCCTGCTGCATCCCTGAGAATAGCCTTTACTAGTCGACCATTATTGTTCAATAACCTGAAGGACAAGATTCCGCTGTTGACCAACTCTATGTGTGTTTATCAATTCACCTGCTCTTGTAGAGCTAGGTATATCGGTCGTTCGACACGAGTTTTGTCCAAGAGGGTGCAAGAACACTATCCTGCATGGCTACGAAAAGGTGGTAGTGGAGCAATAAGAAGCGCGATCATTGAACATCTGGTCGATAATGATCACCCTATCTCTATAGCCTCCGCCTTCAAAGTCATCTACAAGGCAAAGAGTAATCTACCCAAATCCCTACGTACCCGACTCATCTGTATTGCTGAAGCTTTGGCTATCGAAACAGAAAAGCCAGATCTCTGTGTACAGAAGAAGTTCGTTCAACCCCTCCAACTTTCATGGTCTTAATCCCTCTATGCTAAAGTATGGTAATCCCCAATCTACCAACTCTCCATTTTTTCATTTTTTCATTTTTGTCTATTCAATTTGTATACTCTTCCTTATTAAGTCAATTGTTACTATTACTACTCTCACTTTTAATTGTCCCCGGTATTATTTCACTTGTTCCACTTGTCATTCTAAATCAATTCCTTTATGCAACATTAAATTCTATGCTATTAAATTTCACACAATATTACGTAACGTTTTTATTTTTTCGATTTGTCTACTAATCTTATAATTGCACACCTTTTTCAAGTTCTATCCATCCTATGAATTATTCTATATATGACATTAATTTGCTTTGCCACTTGACCTTTAACTACGATTATAATCACAAACATTTTAGTTTTAATTGCACTTCATATTATTATTATTTCATGCATTCACACCTATGTTTCAATTCCCTCACCGGATATAACTTCTTAAAAACCATATATATACGATTGTACAGCTTGATGATAAATTCGTTGAAAAGAGTCTCTTCGCTGAATCATTTGTTTTGATTTTCTATATATCTAAAAAGCCGGCTGATATCTCAAAATTAATTTCATGCAAGTGTACTGCCAGTTTCGATTGTATGATTGTCAGCTATACACTGATACTGTAGATTTTTGACTTTAAAAATGATTGCGAATTGGAATGACTAATCCTTCACAGTCTAGAACTCGATTGTTGTAAATTTCTAACATCAACTTATTTATGAATTATCGAAATCTTATTGATTTACTTTCCCGCTGACTGACTGAAACTAAATGCTTGACTTCAGGTTGAGGTGTTGGCTCCTTGTGTGTAGATGTTTTGGCGATATCTGAGGATCAATTTCAAGCAATTTGGTGAAGAGTGACTAGTAGTGGAATCCAGGAGTTGCACCTCATCCACTTTGGGACTCGTCAGTTAGACGCGTCTGTATTCCGCAGTGAGTGATGGTGACGCTACTGGGGCTCAATCCCAGTAATCGTAGTTTCAAACACCAGAGCGCTACGCATTAAACCATTCGGGCCATGAGAGCTACCTACTGTGCAACGGGTGTCAGCAGTTATTCAATTTAATTTGGGAAAACTATGACTGTGTAGGGAATGCAAATACATCCAGTTGATGAGTCATAACTAGGACGAAATGCTGGTCATGGATTCCCCTACTAGTCACTATCCACGAAGTATTTCTCAGAACTATCTACTTTACTGCGAACAAGCTAAAAAATATATTTCCCAAAGTTCCCTTCAATTGGTATTATTATGACTAATCAAATATTTGGAGATATTAGATGCTTCAGATATTACTAATCTAACAAAAGTAATATATATATATAAATGTTTGCAAGAATAATAAATTTATACATTCATACATGTAACATCAGAAAGAATAAATCTAATGGAAATTTTGTTCCCGTCGTATCTAATGTGAAGAAGAGAATCAACACTATCGCCTCAACAGGCCCACTGAAATGAAGAGAAATCAGGGAATGTCTATATCGGATATATGATTGATAAAAAAGAACATGAAATTAAGAATAAACATTTATGAATTAAATGATTTTGTATGAATAATGTTGGGGTGATCCTGTTAACTTATTATCAGAGTTGCTTTGGATTCCACTGTGTTATGTATGATTTATGTCGCCAGTTGAAATGAACTTGTCGCCAATTGATATGATAGCGTTGACACCTGGTTTGACCAAGTGGACTTATGCGTGTGAGTATTATAATACCGACACAATGAACAACTCAGCTGACCTGCTGGATGCACCTATTCGTCCGTGGCACCTTGCACTTCATTGGCCTCTGTGACTGTTAGTATGCAATTGTATTAGGGAAGCGTCCGTCATATTTATATATTTTTTATAAACACATTAAAATCCGCCAAGGGCAGCGGAAATGGATTGTTTTGATTCGTAGGCGATTCAGCTAACGTTGGCGACAAATTATTACTCTGATTGACTGGTGATTTGACCAAGACTAAGGTAAGAAAGGGATGATGACATTCGACAGTCATCCAAACCACAAGATGAATCCTATGATGATTTCTGTTTAAAGACGATTCCTATGACCCTGTCTGATGTTATACATCCTTCGATTCGCTAACTATTACACAGAAGAAAACCTCATGCAATCGTCTACATGCCAACAGATTATGGAAACGCCAAGGGCTATGTAGTAGTCTTGCAGCTAATGAAGTGCTTGACTTAGGAGACTGCTTCCATTGCCCGCTTTTGAGAAGTTTTCAATGAATCACCTAACTTGCGCATATAATTATTATACTCTTATTCGAAACGAAAACTGCGAATCTATGCGTCTCAGTGTTTTAATATTTCACATGATTTATCGCGATTTATTATCTGAAAATGCGTTGTATTTTGTGGCGATATGGACTGCAAAATGCATCATCGTTAATTTGTAGAGCATACCACTTTCATTTCATTCCATGAGTTCTTTGGAAACATCTGAAGAACTTTGGCCAACTCATGCGTTTCCCTGTATTCCGACTGGAGATTTATTACTTTGAATATTCATTAAGTTGTTACAAGAGCCATGCGTCTTGTCTATCTTTTGATGCAAAGTGAATTCTACCAGATAAGTTTGTAATGTGGTCATCAATTTAGGTGACTCACTATCGTGATTCACTCTGAAATGTTGATAGATAGTTGGAAACAGTCGGCAGGAAGCCACGGACCTCGGTTTCATGTTTGTTGGCACTCATCAGATGGACATTTCCGAAATCTTAGATTAGCTCACTTTGTACCTCAGATTCGAACCCATGTGCTGCAGTTAGTGACGTTGCCAGTGAACCTTACTGATGAGTCCTGATAAGTACGAAATCTAGATCCAGTGTTTCCTGCCTATTTCCACCAGTCATCTGACTTCAATTCAGGGATTTATTAGGCTAAGTGAAGTTTAACAATCATGTTCAGTCGAAAACAAGACAAATTTGTGCTAAAACCTTTGAAAGATCAAACTTGAGTTACAGAGAGTGTGATGCTCTTTTCATTAGCTGTTTCTTTCATCGAAGTTAGACAGCTCTCAGATATGCATATCGTTCTCTGTCTTGTAAACGACTGAACACTTCACTTTCATCTATTTCCGTCTAACGTGATATCATGTTTAAAGTATAGTTTACAAACACAAACGTCACTAAGCTTGAGACGTCAGTATCCCAAATCAAGTGAATCTATGATCTGACAGAAATATTAAAATCACTCTATAAAATAAAACATTAAAAGAGAAACATTCTGAAATGGTAAATGCATTGGATGGCAAATTCTCAGTACACAGTGATGGATAGGAGGTAAATCGGCAGCGAAGTTGATTCCGTTTTTGGTCTGAAAAGTAAGCAGTTAGTTATTCTGGTCGACCTACATTTGTGTCATTGCAAGTGGTATGGGTGTAGTGATGATGGACATCAGAATAACGAATAATAATACCTGTAATTAGCGGGCAACTTCATCAAGGAGTTACGTAGGCTTACTCTTTTCGTGTACTTATCCATAATTTTTTGAATTGTAACGTATATATTCAATGCTCTTCTAATACTCTTCTTATCTCCACTGACAATTCTATCAAATTCTGGAATGAAGAATAAATTGATGTTCATTTTTGGAATAAAAGTGTATACTACTGATTGATTGTAGTGAGTAATTGCTTAACACTCATATCAACTAGCAGTGCTTGCTAGTTAGGTTGAGGTGATCAAACCACCGAAAAGCCGTTCTCCTCATTTGGGACCATGCTCATCAGCGGTGTATCCAGTTTGACTCATCTCATACAGCCGAATCAATTCAAACCACTGGATCTCCGAATAGCTACTTAGGCGAACTGGTGTTATCACAAGTCAAATTTGCCTCTTCTATGTGTGTCTACCAGTTTGACTGCAGCTGAGGAGCCAGCTACATTGAGCGTACAATTAGGCAGTTTCATCGTCGTATTTCTGAACATCATCCAGCGTGGTTAAGCAAGGGACAAACAAGATTTATTCGTAGTTCTATTTCAAAACACTTTGTTGATACTGAGCATAAGGTTGATGTGAATACTGCATTTAAAATTATTTATCGCATTCCGACTAATCTTAACTTTGCTCTACGAGTTCGTCTTCTACAGACAGCTGAAGCAATCGGAATCCACCAGAAGAAACCAAGCCTATGTGTACAGAAGAAATTTGTACAGCCACTTTCCTTACCGTGGCCATCGTTACAAGACAGGACTACGTCGTCCCTCTTCCCCTCCCCCTAAACCTATTAAATTATAATTGTCCAAATTATTTTATTTTTATTTTGACCATTTCATCTTTAATTACGTGTTATCCTTGTAAAATTAATTTATTCTATCCATTTCTACCTTTTAAATTTGTATTGATTTTCTTCGTTAATTATCAACCCATTGACATTTTGACACTGTTTAATTATTGTTAACAAACATATCACCACTTGTTTGGTAAATTGTTGTGTATTGTAAAAAATGCTATATATATTAGAGAAGAGCCAGAGATGAGGATCTAATTGAAAAGTAAATATTTCTTCGCTCAATCTTTCTGTTTTCCACAAGTCAAATTCACACTTTGGCATGACCAGTTCGCTGAAGTAGCTAGCCGGAGATCCGGTGGTTTGAAATGATTTGGCTCTGTAAGATGAGTCAAACTGGGTATACCTCTGATGAGCTCAGCCTTAAAATGAGCAATACAGCTGTTCTGTATTTTAGGATCACTTCGAAGTGGCTACAAAGCAATATTTACTCATGCGAGAGATCAACAACTACTAATCTCAGCAGATATGCTTGTTATCTTGATGATCATCTATGGGGTCAAACAGATCACGTACTGTGGTGATCTGACTAACTTGATTTCCAAAGGAAACTACAGTGAAATTTCACCTCTTGAACTGTGTAGATAGCAAATTGCAAACCAATCTGACATTTGTGAATTTGATTTCTAATGAAAGTGAATGTAAGCCTCAATAGAAGTACTGGTAATCATGAGAATTTAAAATTATGGGGAAGAAAATATTTCCATTCTCCAATATCTTTGATTGGACACTAGTTAGTAACTAGTGTGATGTGTCTAGTCCTTTCTTTGGTGCAGACTGATTTCTATCAGTCAGTCAGGTGTGCAATGTGGCCACCATTCTAGGTAGCTCGCCAACATGGTGCACACTGATTTGATGATATTAGATGGTTAGAATTCAGTCTGCACCATAGAGAGGACTAGACACTTCACACTAGTTACTACTCTCCATTCAAATTATCCCCTACAGTCCTACAGGAGGTCAATCGCGAGCCAGGCCGAATAACTCAGTGGTAACGTCTCTGACTGCAGCTCCCACTGGGTGAAGCAGTTTCGAATCTCAGAAGGGACGTGAGTTCCTTCAAGGCTCCAAGTCTTCTTTCCAATTTCCTCCAACCATCTCATTCTCCAAAATTATCAGTAAATAAACTAAACAACATTGAAGAAGAAGTTTTGGTCATTTCAGTGGAATATAGTTCCATATAAGGCAAGTACACCTGATATAACCACAGAGTGATACAGTAATGTTAACTGTATGATGCATTCATTCCGCTTTAATCTCAGCATACCTCTAAGTTCTTCAAGGACATAAATTCAATAGTAGGTGAATTTCAGTTTACTTTTAACTCAGAAAATCAACAGAGTGAGTTGTCTATCCCAAACTGGCTAGTTAGATACCAACATCTATAAGAAACTGTCACTTTCTCATAGATGCGAAGACTTTGAATCAGGGCAGTGAAAATTGATAAAGGCAGGTTTATTTAAGTTTTTATGCAGTCATACCAGAAGCCTAAACTACAAATCAGGGAATTTAAATGAATAAGTAACTTCGCACTGAATTTTACTCAAAAGAAAAATAAAATTAGAAATGAAAATGGTAAAAAAATAAATAAGGGGTAATACATCTGCCATATTTTAAAATAGTTTTTTACTCCTTTACGTTCACAGTGGAACATGGGGCTTCAAGCTACAGGCTTGAAGTTTCTGTAGCAGTTGTGGTTATTTTTACAGGATGGGGTTTCTAGCCTCATGCCTAACCATCCCTTTCTGATAGTCTTAATACTGGCTTAGTGAGGTAAAGGAGTTCATCGGCCGAAGATCGATCCCCGGACCAACTCTATGATTGGTGAACACTCTACCACTGTGCCACCGACGCACACATTTGCCACATAAAGAAGGAATATCAGATACTCTGTGTAAAATTCTCAACAACACTGGAAATGAGGCAGCATTTAAATCAACGAGCCCACTCAGAAACAAATTTTGTCAGCCTAATGGCTCTTAAGATTTAGTTAGTAAGCAAAGTATAATTTACTAAACTGGTGTCAGGCCAATTCCTGGAACACAAGAGTTTTCAAGTGGTATTTTCAAATGGTCTAAATACATATTTTATGACTGTCAACACCCTCTCTATTCACAATTCTTCCTGACTTGCGTCTCATCAGACAAGACTAGAAGTCATCATAAAAAAGATTATATGGTCGTACAACCAAGTAAAGAAACTCAACGATACCATATTTAACATGCGTCCTATGAGATAGCGATAATGTTAAGAGCGAAACCTACGACTTATTATGTTATTAGCCAAAATAGTTGGCTCTTTCATCCTCTCGTATTTGTAATCAGTGGTGAGACTGTTTCAATTCACTTATTATGTAGCTGTTAATCATTACTAATATCATTATTTCACGCCTTTTGCACAAATACATCACACCATATTTTTGAGATAATCTCCATCTTCTAATAGAACTATCCAAACTTATTAAAGGGATTCGCTGTTATTATTTATTCTGATAGGTTGACTTTCTGAGTGGAACATAAGGTTACAAACTTTGAAGTCTCTGTGGTAGTGATGTTTATTTTTTCTTTTTATTTGATGAGGTTGCTAGGCATACTCCCAACCATCTCTCTTTGCTGGGATTATCACTGGTTAAGCAAGGCTGAAGAGTGCATTGACAGGGAATCGAACCCAGGACCACTTACATGGTTGCTGAATGAGTATTCCCTCACTGAACCACTGACGTACTAAACAAACTAGTTGTTTTGAATTTAACACAGTGAATGAAGCAATAAGAAACTTAACGGTAGAGAAATAGAGAGACACTGGATGTAAAACGCAAGAAACCATGAGGTGTAAGGAGAATTGAGTATATTTACAAACGCATGAGGAGAATGTTATGAACAATAATTATACAAAGATACGCTTACCTGATTTAATTTCTATGGTAGCATCAAAATCATGTTGATTCCAGTGTATTTATAGCTTATCTGATCTGTGTTGTGCTGCATACTTATGTGATTAAAGTGCTCATCTCACAAAGTTGTTCTGTTAAATGGAGAAGAAAAAGCGTGTGATGAATAGACTTTAGTCATCGTGTATGAAAATTAATTTGTTAATGTTATGAATGCGAAGGAAAAAAAATAAAAGACCTTTATACTGTTATTTTTCTCAGCCTGTTTTTAATAATTAAATATTATAAAATATTTTATTTATTCCTTGTGATCAAAGTGGAAAACTGGTCTTCACGAGCATATTTCCATTGTGCTCATGATTTAGTTCAAGTCACTCTTAGATGTCCAATTTGTCGCTTCCCACTTGACTTTTTTATTCAAGGGATTTTTATTTTGGTGTTAGTTCAATGTCACTAAGTGTGCTCCAGTGGTCCAGAGATAGAATGCTCACCGAATATCAATGTGGTTAAACTTCCAGACGAAGCACTTCTAAGCCAGTCTTAACTCTGTAGTAGGCCTAGTAAAGAGGAAAGTTTGGGCTTGAGACAAGCAGCCCGAACCCATGCTATTTATGTCTGTTATATCTTTTTCCACAGGAAATCACAATTGCTTTATGAACTTTGAGGTGATCAGAAACGATATCTGATCCCTGATCTATGATTTATTTAGGTGTTTTCTGGAGATAGTAATCCTCAGAGTAGCAGAGTAAAATTTCTTCTTCAGGCACTTGGAAAGACGATTTTTGAGGATTTCAGCCTAGACATAATCTCTGAAATCTAAGTTCATGAAGAGAGATTTCCTAGCCACAGTTAGACCCAGTGGCAGTGGCAATTTTCCCCATGTTTGAGTTAATAAATCTATGTGGATATCCATTTTGTAATAAAGTGTCAAGAAGAGGTTCCAGCACAGTCTTTACTGTATGTTTCGACCAGACCATTCAAATCTTCAGGCTCAGAGAATGTACTAATTCTTGTTTTGAGACTGGTGGGATGTAGATCTACTGTAAAGACAGAAGACAAGTGCCAAGAAACAGATCGTTTATTCAGAAAATCAACAGATATTTATAGATTTTTATGTACACTATTGCCAGTGGAGAAGCAACGCCTTCTGGTTGGTTGTTTTCTTGCTGAAGGTTATTCTCTTTTTGTGACCGTTTCTCAAAATACCAAACTATATGTCTGTGAATCATATTTCTAC